CCATCTCTCACGCTCTTGCAATGCGAAAATCCATCTGACTGCTGCGCCGACTTCACCGCTCCAACTTCAAGGTCAACGTCCTCTCGGGAGTGTTCTCTCCTTTAACTGTGACTCCGCCGTTAGTCTCCACTGCCAGCCGTCATCCTTTCGAGCGATGTGTCCTGCCAATACATCCTTTCCTTTTCTTCACAGACAACACGGTGTCTCTTAATTGCGCGTCTTCTCTAATCCACATGTTCCTCTTCCTGTCCCTCTCCATGCGTCTTTGTGCAATTTTCAGCATTTGCTCAATTCACATTGTCAATTACCACATATAAGATCCGATGAGCACGGTTGGCTATGTATGATGCGAAAAGATCAAGATGTTACCAGGTTTCAGATCTCTGCCGGGAGGTGTATAAATCGGCAGAATATATGGGGGATGGCAGAGCTTAGATAACTGTTGGTAGCGGCAGCTCACCGCCTGGTTGCTGCAATACCGAATGTCTGTGGTTCCTCACGCCTCCCGAGTCATTCTATCTCCTGTGAAAAATATCTTCATTGCTCATTGGATTCCTCCAGTCTAAATAAAGATTCCGATTCTTCGAGAGTGAGCAAATACCATGCGGTGCGTTACAAGTTGAAACTCCTGATTGAAAACATTCCTCTTGGGACACAGTGCTATGTTCAGTTTTGCAAAAGCACTCCAACATGCTCTCATTTGCCTCTTTATTTCATAATTATAATGAGCAAATGGAAATTGGAAATTGTTCTCAAAAGCCCTTCTAGAACCAAAGAATATTGTGCTTTTGACATTTGGTTATTTTCTTAATTTAGTTCAAAGGTATTGCATTTGGAGTTACATGACTTGTCCATTCCAGTTGGCTATGGGTGGCACGTGTGTGTCTTAGTGCGTCAGTGTACATCTGTGAATCTGCATGTGTGTCTGCATCTGTGAATGTGTGTGTTTGTGGGTCTGGTTCAAGCATGTGCTTTAAGTTCACATCTCTCTGCATGTGTGTGGATTTGTTTGTCAGTATGTGTCCTTGAATGAGCATTTGTAAGTGTGCATTTCGGTCTATATGCCTGTAACTCAGCCTTAAATGAGTACTGGCACACTGTAAACATCACAACTGGGGAGACAAAGGCAGCCGGGTGTGGTGCTAGCAAAATCAAACTCCAGTGTGCCATTCTGGTCTTCATCACTGCTTGCTAACAAGCATTTTTCCCCAACAGTCTGTATTAGGCTATATGGGGGGGGAGGGGAATCTATGTCTGTGGATGTATTTTTAGGCAGAGCGTGTATGTGTGTCTGTACACATGTCTATGACTACCACACCACACAAACATTCCTAGAAAGGCTGCTGGTGCACAGCTTAATTATCCAAGCCACAGCCAAGAGGGCAACGAAAATCCCTACCAGAGACACCTACGGCTAGTTGAGCTACCCCAGGTGGTCCCCGGTGCAGGCTCTGACCAGGCCCAACGCTGCTCAGCGTCTGTTTGTCTGCAGAGGTCAGGTTACCGAGGTGGCGGGGCAGCAGAGGCGTTATGTAACCGAGATGCCGGACACCATCGCGGCTCCGACCGCTCTTGTTTAACAATAAGCAGACGTGCCACCGTTATCGCACACTTCAATCGCAGCGTCTGCTCTGTAGGGGCTCAGGATAAACTCATCTCGTGCCTAACGCTGTTACGGGTTATTAGGGGCAAATATGCGTCATTTTGAAGCTCCCTTCTGAATGGGTTGGGTTTCTCTAATTAAAGTGACACGAGCTCATTAATCTATGGATAACGAAACGTGACGAGAGGACAAAATGTACCGGCAAACATGAGCCGGTCGTTGGAATTTGTTGGACGAGACGCAGGTTGGACGAATTAGCAACGGAGCATACCAAATGGACAGCAAATACGAGGAGTGTAACTCACGCATGCCGACCAGTGGCGATGCGCACTTGACGAGCAGTGATGGGAACCAGAGGCAGGCATTGCAATGCACATCACGATGCTGCGACACCCAGGACCGCCCAGAAGGGGGGCCAAAAGGGGCAATTTGACCCCGGGATTTGTGTAAAGGAGGAGGGTTCCACACTGAGCCTGGGAATGGCGGAATAAGGGGGCCCCAAGTAGCATACTGCCCCAGGCCTCCAGGAAGCTCTGGGTAGCCCTGGCGACACCTACATAATATACTTTGGGTGTTGTCATAATGGAAATACACGTAGCACAGCTGCCTCCCAAATCTCCCACTGAAATAAATATCCAAAAAGAGTACGTAAATATGTAGGGTGATCTATGTACAGAGACACCACACTGATATGTCATATCGCGATTAACGTCTTCTCAACGGGCGAGTGATTATCGGCAAAGCAATGGCTCCATTTTGCACGGAGAAGAATGGTAAAGAGACTTGGTAGGTTTACCGAGATTGGTGGGAGACAAGTAGAGCCTTTGATTTAAAAATAGTTTCCTATATTCATTCTCTCTCTTACTTTTGTTGGATCTCAATCAATAGATCACCCTTGTACGCTGGCATCACTGTTTCAGTGGGGAAAACGATAATACCCTGTGATCCTGTGAACAATATCAGCAAGACTTTACACCAACCAATAATTTGTCATTGCCTACACTGTGCAATTTTTTGCAATTCAGGCTCCATCAATAAGTTGCTGATATAGGTGAATATACGTTGGGTAAAAGGTGAATAAATGGTATTATTACTGAGCTAAGCACTGCTGTGCTAAGCACTGCTCCACCACTTCCCTAAAGTGGCGAGTGATATCTGAGATGTTATCTTCCGTACCTGGTATGCAGGAGGTCATGAGTTCGATCCCGACCCTGACGCCTGCTGTATATTTGGAGTTTGCATGTTCTGCCCGTGGTTATATGGATTTTTCTCCAGGTCCTCCGGTTTTTCCCTCCACATTTAGAAACGCACATTTGGAATGTTTGGCTGCTATAAATGCCCACGTGATAAGCCACTTCGTTGAGCTATCATTTGTCGCCAGGTCGCTGCTGAAAAATAACTATATAGCTCAATGGCACCTTACCATGGTAAAATAAAAAATAGTTTAGTTCTGGACATCCCCACCCCCCACCCCATCACCAATTCGCAATGACAGGCGTGGTTGAAGTACGATAAACCTGCACGGCCGACACAGTGTGGGGAGGTTTCTTTCATCGAGCAGTGAATTGCCGAAGGTGTGTGAATTATGACTATCATTAAAAAAATAATGTTGTTTTTAAAGCGGGCTGTGCTGGGGGGCTCCGGCAGAGGGGCTGTGTCACTGACGCTGCTGAGGGTGCACGGAGCAACGCCGCCCCCTGGCGTCAAAACCACCGCCGCGATGCGTCGATTCGCACGCCAACAAAACACGGCGCGCGTACTGTGTAGTTTGGTGCGCGTGACAATAGATTTTACGCTCAATTCGCGCAACGTTTACATCAGTATTTTCCTCCAGGGTAAATGTTTTGTTGAGGTCAGACAGCACGGTACTCAAAGTCGGTGGGAATGAATGAGACAGGACGAGACTGGCAGTGTCAATAGAATTAAAAAAAACATACAAGAAAGAAGGTGGCACAAGTGATAGGGTCGGTAAACACCAGAGAGCCATAACAAAAGAGACACAAGGACGTCTTTGACACGGGCCGTACAAATAAGACCAGACATGCAGACGATCCCCGGATTACAATCATGATCCAGTGGCAGAAATTCCTGTGGGACCAGGAATTTTGCCTTACTCATAAAATAGTATATATTTTATACTCTTTGGTTCTATTGGGTAAAGTCACGTAGGTAAAAAATAAAATAACAAAAATCACGACGTTTCGGCCACAACACAAGCGGCCTTCATCAGGTGAAGGGACGAGACTGTTTGGAGGACAGCGCTGGAGTTAAAAAAGCCACGCTCAGATCACGACCTTTAAGCTGTGAGAAGAAACAAAGCGCCTTGACAAAGGAATTAGCATATAATTTAGCATTGAAATGGCTCATTGAAATAGCTAAGTTAAAGTATACACATCCGCAGAGGCACCCCTTGACAAAGGAATTCACTCCAGCGCTGTCCTCCAGACAGTCTCGTCCCTTCACCTGATGAAGGCCGCTTGTGTTGTGGCCGAAACGTCGTGATTTTTGTTATTTTATTTTTTACCTATGTGACTTTACCCAATAGAACCAAAGAGTATGGATCCTAGCAGTCACGGAAGCTTTAAATCTAGAAAAGTATATATTTTATCAACCCCAGGATAACGAATGTCTAAGTTTTCCCCTCACCAGGAACTGAACTCGCATCCTTCCAACTTCAAGCCACCGTACCAGCCGGGTCGATGGGTATTCTAATATTATGCAACGATTTAATCAATCCACTTCTGGATGAAGAGTATGGGCGATTGTTATACCATATTGCACCACGCTCACCAGTGCAATCTGAAGGAAGCACCTAAGGACTAGGTCAGATATCACTCGTCACTGTTGCTAGCAGCGGCTGGGAATCTAACTCAAGCGATTGAGTTCACAGTGCAATGCGGGAACCACTGTGCCACCGCTCCGCCGAGCCAGGCAAGCATCACCTTGCTAACAACAAAGCATCGCTCAAGAATGGTCTCTCACCTGGTTAAGGATGGCTGGATCAAAGCAATTCAACCAGACGCATCAGCACAGGGATAGGCCCATGCGTTCGCGCCATGGTAGCGAGTTGTTATCGCCCTCGCCTGGTATACAGGAGGTCGTTGGTTCAATCCCGACCCGACACCTGCATATTTGGAGTTTGCGTGTTCTCCCCGTAGTCGTGTGGATTTTTCTCCAAGGTCCTCTGGTTTATTCCTCCACATTTAGAAACAATATAATGCGTTTAGATCATTTGGATGCTTTTAATATGCCCGTGATAAGCCACTTCGTTGAGCATTCATTTGTGGCCAGGTCGCTTCTGAAAAAGAGCTAATAACTCAAGTGGGCTTTACCCAATTAAATAGAAATAGCTTGAAGTTTTTTAGTTCTGTTAGCGTCGCCACGTGTCTGGACACACCTGCTCGTGCAGAAGGGCCTTGCGCAGGGCAGCACCTCCACCACCTCCACCACCTCCACCACCTCCACCTGCCTCTCCCTCCGCCACCTCCGCCACCTCCGCCGCCACCCCCTCCTCCTCGCCGCTCTCTCCGTCGCTCACGCTCTCGTGCACCGCCAGGCGGAAGCAATCGGTGAAAGCCCTCACGATGGCGGCTCGCTCCGAGGGGCTGCTCTGCACTGTGTCGCTGCCCAGGCTGCAACACAAGCGCGCGTTCCGCAATCACAACGCTCATCATCAGCTGCATCATTGTGTACGTGTAGGTCCAGGTGCCTTTTGTCAATCCACTGCTAGACGAGGGTCTCCCCACATCGTGCTGGCACTTACGAGTCTAGGCGTTATCGATGCGAGCTGTGCGTTTTCTTTTGTGTGCCTTCCTTTAACACCACTTTATAGCCCTGTGCTATAATATCCTTCGAGTTTCTGGATTGCACGCTGTTGCACTTTAATTGCATGCCTAACCGAACATGCGACCACGGCAGTGATTTATTGTCCTTGCACGCATTGTGGTAATGCATTTAAACGATAAGATGGAAATTTAATTCACATTACCCAGGCATCCTAAAAATAAAAAATAAACCTTTGGTTGAAATTAACTCTTGTCTGCTTATAAAGTATATGTGTGTAGGTGTCATATTTTCATGAGGAAATTGGTCATTGCAGGTAGTGTAACGTTATATCTGGGCATCATGACATCATAACTTATGAAGATATGATCACTAATCTCGAGATCTTGACTCCAGGTCTCTCACCCCTCTCTTGTTTCTCAGTTTTATCTCACTAATCTACGTCTTTTCTACAGCTCCCAAGTCGCCTTCAGCTCTATTCAACCTCAATAATTATTACTTCTTTGTCTCGGTGAGCCATATCTCTCAGCGGGTCATAGCTTGGGCAGGTCAGTCCAAGGGCGTTTGTGGGCCACATTTTACCAGCTCAATAACCCTGAATTATCTAATCGAATCACAACCCCAAAATAACAACGAATCACAAAGAATCACAGCAGAGACAAAACCAATCATGACGTGCACACCGTCAGCACTGTACCCTCTCTCCTCCCATTTACCCCTTCCCCACATCCCTTCCTCCTTCCTCCATTCCTCACTTCTGCTCTACTTTACCTCCCTCACTCTCACCCTTACTACCTCCCACTTCCCTACCTCCCTCCCCCTATACATCCCTCCCCCCATGCTTCCCTCCCCCCTCCCTTACCTCCCTCCATGACTTACTCCTTTGCTACCTACCTTCCTACCTTCCTCCTTCCATGCCTTCTTCCCTCTATGCCTCCTTCCTTCCATTCCTCCCTCCATCTCTCCATCCTTCCCTCTCTTTCTCCATGCCTCCCTCCAAGCCTCCTTTCTTTCATCCATCTCTCCCTGCCCGCCTCTTCCCCCCCCCACCACCACGTCGCCACCCACAGGCCTCACCCCTGGCGCAGGCTGCAGAAGAGCACCGGGTAGAAGAGGGCCCGGGGCCCCGTGACGGCGGGCGGCATGAAGCCCAGCAGGGGCAGCAGGTGCGGGTGTACGACGGCGGCGAGGCCTCGCCCGCCCTCGCGCAGCACGGCCCAGAGGCGCGGCAGCGCGCCCTTGCGCGCGCTCACGTGCGTCCAGCAGTCCTGTGCCGCACGGGTGAGAGAAGGGGGGAGGGGGGGGCGTCAGAACGAATCGTCCTCAAGGTGTTTGACGTGGATTCAAACGCAAACGTCGTAACCCCCGTTGCTACAGATTCAGGTCGTGGGAATGTTCTCTGCGACTTACGCGCCGAGCTCAAACGATAATAGCCACCGCGTTAAACGCTCGTAGGCGTGATGGTTTAATCTGTGTGGCCGTGGCGGGTGGTGGAGGGTCTTAATGGTATAATTTGGTCAAACCGTCACCTGGCCTAACCCATAAATCAACTATGAACCATAGTTACGTAACCTTCCAAAGCCATACAATGAGATGACATCACATGATGCGTGAGCTGTGACGTCGTGAGGCCCACAGAAGTAGAACTTCACCTGTTGATTTCAGGAAATAAAAGCACCAAATAAAATACGTGCAGCAGGCAGTAAATATTTAGTCCTGCAGACGTGAACACAGGTCAACTAATTTAGATGTCGGCATTCCCTCGTCGTGTTATTCAAATCACTATCCGCAATTTTGGCTATCCGCGAATCGCATCTGGAACTCTACATGACTGCATCGAGAGAAAGTGATGAGAGAAAGTGTGATGCAAGAAATATGAGAGAGATTTACTTTGTTTATAATAACACATTTTTTATTTGTCTTATTGTCATTTTCATGTATTTCAAAGTTCATTTATGTATTTATTGAAAGATTTCATAGGCCAATATCATTATCCGTGAAATTCGCCATTCACGAGCATCTCCGGAGCGTATCCCTCGCGAATGACGACAAAATATGCTTACGAGAGTTATCTTGAGCCCATTTCACGAGATGGACGGAAGCACACGGCAGGCGGCCGGGGGTTCGTGCGTTAAGAAGTGGGGAGAGTGGGTGGCGGAACCTCGACGGTGGATGCGGCGAGCAGGGCGGCCTCCCAGAGCGGCGCACACGCCACGGGGTCTGCCTCGTCCAGCGCAAGCAGCACGGTGGGGCACAGCCGCCTCGCCTCCCCGCGCGCTAGCCCGGGTTCCGCGCGGCACAGCGCCGACAGGGCCTCGTACAGCGCCGCTCGCACCTGCGGAGTTGCCCGCGCGGGGAAGAAGGAAGAGGAGCAGAGGACGAGCAGCATCGGCCACGATTGGCAATCACCCAGCTGTCTATTATAATCTAATCTATTTTAATTTTCATGCGTAGCCCACTGAGTTATACAGCTCTTATTAATAGGCGACCTGGCCACTGAATGAAAGCTCAAGAACACTGAGCTGTCATTTGTGGAAATGTAAAGCAGCCAAATACTCTAAAAGCATGTTTCTAAATGCGTAGGGAAAAACTGGAGGTCCCGGTGAAATATCCATGCGACCATGGGGAAAGACACATGTAAACTCCAAATATACAGCAGGCATCAGGGTCGGGATCGAACCCACGACCTCCTGTATACCAGGCGAGGCAGTTAACATCTCCTAGCCACCGTGGCGCCCAATCGTGCGGCCACCATCACTGATGGCATTGCGTGCTGTGATGAGCCCAAGTCACTCCCCTGTGATGTGGACAGGACATGGCAGTCAAGCAAGTAAGTTGATGACCTGCCCGTATGGATTTGCGTTGTATCCTGTTGCATACAAAGATGACCGCAAAGTAATATCATCGCTTGTGCAACCAAGAATAAATTGACAAATAATCCCAAAGCAGAGACTCTCCTTATAGACTTAAGTCTTGGGACTCAATGATACTATCCTGGACAATTGAGCGGTGGTGCAGTGGGGTTCAGACCCTGCACCATGAACCCAGCAACTGGAGCTCGATTGCTGACGATGGCAAACATCATCGGCGTGTAATCTTCCAGACTTACTAACATAATCCGTAGAGGCTGCCAAATTCGAAACGCCTCTTGCCGTCCCGGCACCCTACGTGCCCACGCCATGGTCACGGCTTACCTGTGGGGCGCTGTGCTTGCTGTACTTCCACAACTTGGGCTGGGCGAGCAGGGCGGACAGGCGGTCCGAGAGTGCGGCACGCTCGCCGGGGGGCAGCAGCGACAGCAGCCGCTTGAAAGCGAGCAGCGAGGAGGTGACCACACGGATGTGACGCGCCTCCTTCTCGTCCGTGCTCACCCTGAGCAGCACACGTGCACACAAGAGAATGCCCCCTGGATTAGCCTTGGACAGACTGTTTGGAAATCTGCTTTTAGTGAGCACCTGTAAAAGTTCAGAAGGCGCACGAGGGGGTGGGTGGCCAACACCACTCCCGGCCAACTTTGTCTCCCCGGTGCTGATGTTCACACAAGGTGTTGGACTAGGGGAGGGCCAGGACTAGTTCATATGCTCGCCACTATTATTTGTCGCAAGCAGGAATTAAATTCATGTCGACGGGTTTGTGGTAGGTGCAGTGCGCTAACCGCAACACTACTGCTGCCCACACACGCACACACGGCACAAGTGTCACGACACGCAAAGCCTCGCCTCCTAACTGCTCTGAACAATAAAACTACCGTGAACAGTACAGCGGAAGTTTTCACGTTTGTGCTGTATGGCTCTCTGATGTGCCTCCAAAATTGCATCGGTTATTTGTTGTTTCGCATATTACCTATGTTCAACCTTTGTTCCATTTTCCTTGTCAGTGCTGAGATTTCTCATGTAAAAGCAGGTAATATGCAACGATTGAAAAGTTATTCTTCAGACACAAAAGGTAAGTTTATTTCACAAAGCAATGCATGACTGTAAGGGAAGGCAGCGGCTTGGAGTGGCCTTTATCCAGCAGATAATGGTTGATGAGGATATGACTTATGACTATAATCGATGATCAGACATCCATATGGCGCAGTGGTAAGCACACAGCATCCTAAACGTGGCCACCTAAGTTTGATACCTGGCCAAGGCTCACATTAGTCGTGTGTTATATCTGAACTGGGATTAGACCCCCTCTTCCAAATGTACACTGACAAGCATGGTGAAGTATGGACAAATAAATATATTTTCAAAAATTATATACATTTAATTTACAAATATATAAACGCACGATGTCTACATATTTACATATATAAAAGAAAACAAGATCTCTACATTTGAGCTGTCTGGCTTTCTTTGTGCATTTTGTATGTTAAAAGTATGTATTCATGGAGAGTATAATCTCATTAATGAATATGCAAAAGGTAAACACTCACTGTGGGTCGCTTAACGTGTCCGGAGTTAGCTTGAAAAGATTGTCTTGGAGGTGCTGCAAGTAAAAAAAACAAAAATAGCAGTCAAACAACGCTAACAATAACACAATCAAATAAACCATAGTTACGAGAGTGGTCGTGATTGCCCATGTTGCTTATTATTATTCGAAGTTAGTTTGCAGGTGGCTACCACTGTACTTATTTAAAAAAATGTACCATTTAAACCCAGTATCTTTTGCTCTGCGACGAGACAGGTCTTGTAGGCTTCATGCAAAATAGACACATCCCAATGCTTAAATGGAAGGTCAACGATTCTGACGGACCCATTATGAGCCATCAACAATGGAGCAAGACTCTAACTCAGGATCTCAGGAATTGATTGACACAGCCATTATGAGACCCCATGAGAGAGTGAGACTGCAAACCAGGGCTTGAACCTCACATATCAGCGGCGCTGGCTCAATCACTTTGACACAGCCGTTATGAGCTTCAGCACTATGGGGCAAATGAGAGAAGGCTATGATGAGAGAGAAACAACAACACCGGGGCTTGAACCCAAAATCTCGGCCAAGCTGGCTCAGTGGCTTAGCAGTATCTAAATTGAATGTAATTTAATTACTTTGTAATTTGTGACTGGTATTCCAATTACACACCTCAAAAACATTTCCAATTTGTATTTAATATATGCAAAACGTGGTTTATTCCTCATTTGTATCCACTATACATTACCTCCCGTTAATGTCATTTGGATGAATGTCCCCCCCATCTCTGTCCGGCAGACGTACACAGCCACCGCAAGCCCTCGGCCATCTCCGCCGAACAATAAAAACTACAAACGCTCCGGAGCGAGCGACCACCGTGACTCGGCCACATCACCACCACCTCCGCCCCACCACGTACGCTCAGGATCTCGTCCTTGCAGAAGGCGAGAGCCTCAGGCTGCTTGGCAGGCGGGAAGGCGGCGCTAAACGCAGCGCGGGCGGCGGAGGCGGCGGGGGCATGGCCGTCGCACTGCGCCACCAGCCAGGTCCCCATCACGGCCTTGAGGTGCGGAGCGAGGGCACGGCGCACGCGCGACGCCAGCTGCTGCATCGCCACCTGGGCCGCCTCGCGCACGCGCCGGTCCAGGTCCTGCGAGTGCCAGAAAAAAAATTGGTGATTCGTCCACGCCCGTCAGTGACCGAGGGAGTGGTCAAATCGGTCCCTACAAGTGCCATAAACTCAATGTCATCGATTCGACCATCGCTGAATGGGCGGCTGGTCTTTAGGCCTCAGCCCTCCAAATGCCGGAGACAAAAAAAAAAAGAGGTAATTTGGTCATCCGTCAGTGAATTAAGACAACTGTGCCAATAACATTTATTAATTCATGCATCACACACATACAGTGACATCGAGGTGGTGACCATAGGATGCGGGACAGCAAGTAGGTTGCTAATCAGTCTGTGTAGCGTTTGAGTGTTATCCCCTTGTGTGAGATTATTTACAACATTATTGGTTTCATGCCATCCTGAAAAACGCCCAAAAAAGATCTGACAAAAACATCCCAAGCAGAACTATTCTAAAAAGTGGTCTTGAGATTCACTTGAGGCATTCTATTTTATAGTTGTATGCAGAGTAAAACAAGCCATTGGGTTGTGGGGGTTATTCATGATAATTCACCAAGCTGGTCAGTACGATAATAAAGTAATGAGGGCTCGGGTTAAGCATCTACATCATTAGACCTCCCTTGCCAGTACCTACTTGCATTAACCACAATACTTGTGGTGAAAATGCAAAAAAAAACACCACAAATATTATGGTTAATGCAGACATGATTCCTTGTAAAAAGGTTTCGATTTTGTTGCCAGAAAAAAGGGGAAAAACCCAATTATTATATTTTGGTACTGGCAAAAGGTGTCTAATGATGTAGATGCTTACCCCGAGCCCTCATTACTTTGATAGTGCATTGTCTTTGAGCTGTACGCCTTTTGGCATCATCTGGTCTCGTACCAATTGAGACGAGGCTCAAAAGAAAGCCGTCTCTGGTGTGGACCAATCAGTTACAAGGACAATGCATATATTATCAGTGTTTTTTTATGTTCACCACAAGTATTGTGGTTAATGCACACATGATTCCTTGTAAAAAGGATTCAGTTTTGTTTCCATAAAAAAGGGGAAAAGCCCTTTTATAATATTTTGGCACTGGCAAAGGAGGTCTAATGATCTGGTCAGTACAGTTTTGTAAAGGCAGATCGTAGATTAGATATTGGAACACAGTATCATGTATTTTGCTGCATTACTCTTAGCTGACAATGTAGCCCTGCAGCAACCAACAATCCAACACCATTACAGTTTTATAGCATGAAAAAAAACACTAATAAAAACTGCAAATTCGGTTTACTAAACAACGGGACAGTTTTACCGTGGAGATTTTGTTGTAGAGGCGAGGCCAGTAAGGCAGGATGGCTTTAACGACATCAACATCTTTCTCCTTGCACATTGCTCCAAACTCCTGCATGGCCTGAACAAACGAACAAAAACAAACACTCCTTCACTTACGGCACTCATGTCAAGCGCTTTGAGCATACATTGAGACAGCACGCAGTACCACCGGCGCCAGCCGAAAGAGTAACTCCTGCAAAATCCCCCTAGCACGTGCCCTTCCTATCCCCAACTTTCAAGCAATACCGTCTATCTGACGCAATCTAGAAGCTTGTGCATGACACCTACGCACTCTTTCTTCTCGTTCCATGTTTCTCAGACTCCACAAAGAGTACATTGCAGCCCCACAGTAAAAGCCATGCAGACAATGTAATCAGTATCATACAGACCAAACAATGAATATCATCACAGTTTCAAGTTTATTTTATTTTCTGAGAACTCAGAGACCAGGATAGTCTCTTGTGTTAGAATAACCAATGGGGCATTAATCTGCCAGTAGGGGGTGAAGATTGCTATGTAGAATCCCAATTGAGTCATTTACGACTAATTTTAGAATGGCAATTTGGACACCCGATGCTGGCACACAATGGCCTATTCTTGTGAATCACGTCACGATATCTTTAACATCCACTATGAAGCAGAGTGTAGTATTATTATGGTTATTACACCCGCAGTAGTAACTAGGGTGGCCGCTGGAATCGAACCACGAACCTCTGCAACAAGTGGTGAATGCGCTTCCTCTAGGCGACATCGCCACCCCAATTTGTGACCCGAAAAGCATTAGTGTGACCTCCAAGCAGTAATGTGCATACCCTACAGATGTTACTGGCAACCCACTAAAAGCACAACTGTGTAGCACTAACATATAGTAGTATAAGGACCCCACACGAGGTCACATGTGCAAAACCTACAAGCAGTATTCAAGTAGTATTATATAGGCTTACAATAAGCACCAGTCAGACTCAATAATTTTTGTGCAAATCCTATAAGCGGTATTGTTTACATCATGAAAAAGAAGTACTATATAGGCCTGCAATAAGTAGAGCCTTGTCAGTATCACGTACTCAATGCAAGCATCATACTTGCACTATGTATGGATGTAGCAGCCTACGACATAAATCAGTAGGGTTGGAAAATATGAAGCATAGTGCATGGTCCCAACAGGCAGCACCATACAGCCCCTACAATCAGCAGACCCTACAATCTTTTTCTCTATGGCCCTACAAATAGTAATGTGAATTTTCACTGGAAATATTGCATAGACTAGACAATAATTGCATCTCAGACCCTACAGGCATTATTACAAAGCCCTACACATATTGTAGTTTAAACCCTAAAACCAGAACCGTGTAGACGCCACAAGCGGACAGAGAGTAAGACCAAGACGGGCAGTCCCTGTGTGGCTCGCATACTTTGAGCTTGGTGGTCGTATCTCGCTTGGAGAGCTTGCGCAGCACGAGGCGGAAGTCTGGGTCGACGACATTCTCCACGTCCTCTGCTCCTTGCACCGCCGGCATGAACCCCAGCTCCGAGGTCACTGCGCCGGTGCGGAGGTCAGAGGTCGCAGCGCCGAACACAATATCGCTGGTGGCGCCCCCGAATCCGAGGAATCCCGGCACGGAGCCGACATCCCGGGCGAGCAACTCGGCCGCGCGGGCGCTGCTCGACGGCTGTAAAGAGTAAGGGAGCACGCGGCGTTGAGCAAACCGGTCAATGCTGTGCAGTCAGCTGTCACGATCTCAGTGCAAGTGGCGTGGTGGCTCAGAGCAGTTGGAGCACCTGAGGTGGCACTGCTGAGGTCCAGGGTAGAAATATAGAATCTCTCATTCAATCCCTTAGCCTAAAGATACAATCTGCATAAAAATCTAAAAATCGATTCTAACATGCTTAAATTAATAAGTGTATTGTGAGTTTAAGGATCTGTCGTTAAGTAATCATTACAGTACATGTTTAGTACCGTATTAGCCTGCATTACGTAACATGATTCAGCACCCGGGGAAAAACAACGCTTGCGAAGTCATTTAAATTGCACTTTAAAGACCCTACGGTATCGGCAGACGTAGTAAAAATGTACCAGTTTTAACTGAGATTCCTCTGCGGCCCACAGGACAGGAAAGCAGCTCTAACAATCACACGTATGTATGTTTATATAATAAACAAGTAATACACACGTAAGTCACAATAAAACAGTGACGAACTATGGACTGCAATGTTAATATATATTTACACATCGCTTTCTGTTCGATGTGAAGACGAATGCTGCACAAGAAACCGCGGGCTAGGTGTTTACATCACGTGAACATGTTCAGTTGTCCAGAGCAGGTGCATTTTTGACGTGCAGTATTACCACCGGGATCCCTTTTAAAATAATAGTACACAAGAGTTCGCTAACGGCAAACAAGAACAGTTGTCAATGATCATGGGACCTCCTTTGCCAGTGTCAAAATATAAGAATAGATTTTCCCCTTTTCCCTGGCAACAAAACAGGAATTAAGATTTTTCGATTTAAAGCTTTCGTGACTGCAGGGATTCATCTTCTTGGTTCTTTCGGTAAAGTGACGTAGAATGGAAGTAAAATAATACAAATAAAACATGTTATTTTATTGTGTTTATATACAATATTATTTTATTATGTTTTAGTTTTATTATTTTATTTCCATTCTACGTGACTTTACCGAAAGAACCAAAAACAGGAGTTAAGGTGTTAAAATACCAAACTGAAACCTTTTACAAGGAATCATGTCTGCATTAATGTCTGCATCTGTTTGAGACGAGGCTCAAAAGAAAGCTGTCTCTGGTGTGGACCAATCAGTTTCAAAGACAATGCATAGATCATCAGTTTGTTTTTTGTTTGCATTCTGACCACAAGTATTGTGGTTAATGCAGACATGATTCCGTGTAAAAGGTTTCAGTTTGGTGTTTTAACATCTCAACACCTGTTTTGTTGCCAGAAAAAAGGTGGAAAACCTATTCTCATATTTTGGTACTAGCAAGGGAGGTCCCATGATGTAGATGCTCGCCCCGAGCTCTCATTACTCCGACAGTTAATTGTCTTTGTGCTGTACGCCTTTTGGCATCCTCTGGTCTAACACCGTTTGTCTGCATCTGTCTCTATAAGTTTCCATGTTTCTGAGTCTGTCGTATCTCTCTGCACGTCTCTCAGTTTATTTTTTTGACGGTCTGTGCGCCTCTTTTTCCGTGTCTATCAGTGTACCTCTGTGTCTGGGTATATCGCTCTACGTGTCTCTCTCTCCGTGTCTGTCTCTGTCCATCCCTCTGCCTTTGTGAGTTGCGTCTGTCTCCCAATCCTTGGGTCTCTCTCCCGGTCCCCACGTGTCCCACTTTACCCCAACTCAGGACCACAACCGGCAAACCCCTCCCATCGCCACCACGGCGACAGCGACTCTCAACAACAACGCGACACGCGAACAGCCCCTACAAATTACCCTCACACACACACACACCGACACTCGTATCATATCCAACGGCTTTCCCCTCGCCCATATTCGGTACACCATCCAGGCGAGTCCGGGGCTCAGGCCTGGTCCCCGCGGTCCCCCTCCCTCCCACCCCGCGGCTACGAATCTCTCCACGCGCTCACCCGCACGTTCCCCTTTGTCCGCTGCTTGTTCTTGCCTCCCATATGCGCAGATGTGGCGGCGGAATCACTTTGAATCGGTTCAAATATAATTTCCCGACGGCAAACAACTCTCCCCACAGAGCTTGTTACGGCTGTTTAAAACTCCAACGCACGCCAGAGGTGGGGGGAGGGGGGGTTATAGCGTGACCCGTGACCCCTCCCCCGTGACGTCACGAGGGGTCAGGGTTCACCAGCTGACAGCTGAAGTTCACACGTGGTTTGCCATGTGCTCACCTCTGGGCCGGACCACGCGGCCACTACCGACTCGGATTTTGCGGGGATGCCTCCGGGCCAGACTTCGTTCGTGCCGGCCAGGGGAGGCAGGGGACCGGCCCCTCGAGGCAGAGGTCGCCGGTGGCGGGCGGAGAGTCCCGATCGGCCGCACGGTGTGCCGGGCAGTGCTGGAGCACTTTGACGTGGAGTACGGACAGCGGTTTGGGCAGCGTTGGTTGAAGTTCAGGTGCGGTTGTGTGCGGTTGTGGATTACGCGGGTTTGGGTCGAGTTTGTTTGCGTGATTTTGAAGGGATGGATGACGAGGAAGAGGTTGTGGGGTGGGGGGGAGGTATTTAAATAGAAGTCAGAGATTGTGTCAGTGATCCCCCGTAAGTCTTCATTCGAGACTGGGCCTGTCAGTGTGATAAGACCAGAGAGTGGTGTTGATAAGAATAACACTGGACTCTGAGACGAACACTGCACACACATAATAACACTGGCACCACAGATTTAATACTGGAGCCATTCTGTCCGTATACAGTATTGTCTAGAGACCCGATCAGAGACTGGTCTACCATCTGTATATACTGTGAGCTGAATGGACAGGTTTGCCTTGTGTTGGTGTGTTTTTCTCTGATTGTTTTTAAAGAGATGGTCACGTTAATGAGTGGCAAAATAATGGCTTTATTGTTTAAATACCAGTAATTGACTGCTATCGCAGTCGAGATTGTGTCGACAACTATTCTGTCATCTTAATATTGAGACTCCATTAGAAACAGTCTGGTTTCCGATGTGGTTTTAATGACGACAGTGTCTTTCGACTCCAGCAAGCACCAGTGCTTTAGTCGATTGTTAGGAGACCCCATTATAGGCCGCTATTTTAGTCTATAATGTGAGCAGTATGTACAGGATTGGCTCAAATTAGTGTGGGTGTTTTAGATGAAACGATGAAATCAGCTTTTATGTAGGTCCTAGGCGGATTGTTGCATCGTAGGATCGTGAGTAGATGATGGTGGCAACTTAGGAGGCCTTTCTCCAGTAGATTGATCTTGGCTGATGAGAATGATGTCATTGTTAATGCTCTTTCATGGCTGTGTTCTTGCACTGTGTGCCTGTGAACAGGGCAGTGATGCTTGCACCCAACAAGTGGCAGTATGCCGCTTTGCCCAACCTGTTTGCGATGCAGCAAAGGAGAGAGCAATCCTGCCCTCAGCATCACTCACAGCAGCTGGCCGAGGAGGAGGCACGTCACACACGGCACAGCGCATTTCCATCCCACGATTGTGACAATGCACCCTCCTGCAAACTCGCTGACGGCAGTTGGTCAGACTGCAATGGGAACGTTATTACCAATGACATCACGGTCGGTGATTCTCCACAACTGCACGTGAACGGTAATGGTGACACCTGGGCATCTGGCTCCTGCGACGGACTAGCGCAAATGCCAGATGGTCCGAGAGATTGCGACGACATCCACACAACCAGCAGGACTTGTGCCCCGCAGTCCGAGTCACGTCCCTCCAGTGATCGGAGCGAGACGAATGAAAACGAACGGCGTGCAGACAGGATCACGATGCGGTGCCCGCCGCGCGACCACGCTTTCAAAGAGGCGGTGTATCTGTCAGCCACCGGCGTCCTGCGGAGGGAGACTCGAGAAGGCTTAGCGGAGCACTTCCGCTACACCTTCCCCGCCGGCTCGCACGGACCCGAGTGGCCGCTCAGATCTCTCGACGATGGGCGGTCCGCTGGCGTCGCCGGATTGTGGTGCTTCTTGGCGCAGGCCGGCAGGCCCTTCCCGAAGCTCCGGCACGAGCCGGGCCGCCTCAAGGCGTTCTACGTCCTCAACGCCGCCTCGCTGTTACCCGTGCTGGCGCTGGGTGTGCGGAGCGGGGAGCGGGTGCTCGACATGTGCGCTGCTCCCGGGGGCAAAACCCTCGGCATCCTGCAGTGCGCGCAGCCAAGTGAGGTGCCGGGCGATTTCATGATCAGAATATTGTATTTGTACTGGAGAAATCCGATGAGCTACAAAGCTCTTTTTCGCAGATGTCCAGTAGGGGCGGGTAAGGACGTTACAAAACAAAGAATACAAAAACACGAAAGCAGTGCAAAGTACAAGAAAGGTAAATAAATCACCATCCCAATCCCACCAGGCAAAGCCGACTGAGGTATTAAAAAAAAAACTAAAATATTTAATTTTTACCAGGTAAGGCCCACTGTGCTATGTAGCTCTATTTTTTTTAGAAGAGAGTCGGCTATCAGCCAAATTCTCTGAATGCGTGTTTCCAAATGTGCATCGGCAGAGGGGCGCTGCTGCCGTGGTGTGACGACGGTTAGCACAATTTGCACTTTACAGAGGGGTCGCCGGTTTGATTTGATACCCCGGCGCAGGCGCAGCAGTTGAAACAATGGTGCACATTTCTCAAGTACCCTCCACGTCACCCTCGGCACGGAAAGTCTGGACAGCGTGGAAGAATATGAGGTCTCCAGCGCTCTCTGAAAACGTACCATTCAGTGCTGTCATGACTCGCCCATTTCGATGAATTTCCACGATTGTCTCATTTGTATTGTATATCAGGTGGTCTGCCTCATGAGTAAAATCTCGTTTGCAGCGGAAGCTGGATATTAGCGCACCCCTTGAGAGTGCAAGGCACGATGTGATTGCATCAGAAGTTGTTTTGTTTAGCGAATGATTTTACACGTGACTCTTGGACCGTTAGAGCAGAAGTTGTATGCTCGTTTCAGAAGTTGCCCCTTTTCTTCTCCCAACCAGTGCGATGCAACGATGTGTCTCATGCATGAGAACTGTGCTTATTTAAAAGGTATGCTAATTTCCATAGTCTCCTGTAATTGGCATTTATTACAGTATACATTATTGTATCACACACTCGGTGCATGCGAGCGTAAGAACTTATTTTAATGACCAACTGGGTGAATCCTCGAGTCTTCACGGCCACCTTCCTGAAGAGCTCAACTAAAATATTTGCCACTGGGTGGCAGAATTACCACGGTTAGAGCGGCGCTCTTTAGTTTCCAGACAACGAGGGTGCCGAGCTAATAGATACGGGTCAACCCCAAAGGGTTCAAACCGGTGAGACCTCGACTGAAAAACATTGGGGAAAACAACCCAAACACTGATACGTAGACCCAAGAAACTGATAGTTTAACCCAGGAAACCGAGGCACGAACATTTAATTGGCACGCAGCAGGCAAGGGCGAGCATTTTGGAGAAAAGCAGCAATAGGCTAATGTACTCCACAACTTGTTGAACCCGCAGTAAATGAATTAATAATAACCTTGGCTAGATGAGGTTAGTTTCCGGCTTGTGTCTCAAAAGGCTGTGAGTGAAGACAACATTTGTGTAGGAGCTTACAGTGAGGGAAAAAAGTATTTGATCCCCTGCTGATTTTGTATGTTTGCCCACTGACAAATAAATGATCAGTCTATAATTTTAATGGTAGGTTTATTTGAACAGTGAGAGGCAGAATAACAACAACAAAATCCAGAAAAACGCATGTCAAAAATGTTATAAATTGATTTGCATTTTAATGAGGGAAATAAGTATTTGACCCCTCTACAAAACATGACTTAGTTCTTGGTGGCAAAACCCTTGTTGGCAATCACAGAGGTCAGACGTTTCTTGTAGTTGGCCACCAGGTTTGCACACATCTCAGGAGGGATTTTTTCCCACTCTTCTTTGCAGATCTTCTCCATGGCATTAAGGTTTCGAGGCTGAGGTTTGGCAACTCGAACCTTCAGCTCCCTCCACAGATTTTCTATGGAATTAAGGTCTGGAGACTGGCTAGGCCACTCCAGGACCTTAATGTGCTTCTTGAGCCACTCCTTTGTTGCCTTGGCCGTGTGTTTTGGGTCATTGTCATGCTGGAATACCCATCCACGACCCATTTTCAATGCCCTGGCTGAGGGAAGGAGGTTCTCACCCAAGATTTGATGGTACATGGCCCCGTCCATCGTCCCTTTGATGCGGTGAAGTTGTCCTGTCTCCTTAGCAGAAAACACCCCCAAAGCATAATGTTTCCACCTCCATGTTTGACGGTGGGGATGGTGTTCTTGGGGTCATAGGCAGCATTCCTCCTCCTCCAAACACGGCGAGTTGAGTTGATGCCAAAGAGCTCCATTTTGGTTTCATCTGACCACAACACTTTCACCCATTTGTCCTCTGAATCACTCAGATGTTCATTGGCAAACTTCAGACGGGCATCTATATGTTTTCTTGAGCAGGGGGACCTTGTGGGTGCTGCAGGATTTCAGTCCTTCACGGCGTAGTGTGTTACCAATTGTTTTCTTGGTGACTATGGTCCCAGCTGCCTTGAGATAATTGGCAAGATCCTCCCGTGTAGTTCTGGGCTGATTCCTCACCGTTCTCATGATCCTTGCAACTCCACGAGGTGAGATCTTGCATAGAGCCCCAGGCCGAGGGAGATTGACAGTTATTTTGTGTTTCTTCCATTTGCGAATAATGGCACCAACTGTTGTCACCTTCTCACCAAGCTGCTTGGCAATGGTCTTGTAGCCAATTCCAGTCTTGTGTAATTCTACAATCTTGTCCCTGACATCCTTGGAGAGCTCTTTGGTCTTCGCCATGGTGGAGAGTTTGGAATCTGATTGATTGATTGCTTCTGTGGACAGGTGTCTTTTATACAGGTAACAAGCTGAGATTAGGAGCACTCCCTTTAAGAGTGTGCTCCTAATCTCAGCTCGTTACCTGTATAAAAGACACCTGGGAGCCAGAAATCTTTCTGATTGAGAGGGGGTCAAATACTTATTTCCCTCATTAAAATGCAAATCAATTTATAACATTTTTGACATGCGTTTTTCTGGATGGTTTTGTTGTTATTCTGTCTCTCACTGTTCAAATTAAATACATTTTAGACTGATAATTTCTCTGTCAGTGGACAAACATACAAAATCAGCAGGGGATAAAATACTTTTTTCCCTCGCTGTACGTGCGGTCTGAGCCAGCGGGCAGCACCTGGCGGTGAAACACTGCCATCGGTAGGGCTAAGTGAATTACTCTCAGGTAAACAACAACCACGCACATGATAATCCATTACACGGCCCTAATGTGTAGAATCCTCTCAAAATTGTGAGAGAAAAAAACCGTGAGTCCCAAGGGTAATTCTTGAGGTTTCATTCCGTATGTGTGGCGAATGGATCACAGCATGTGCTTTAACACTGGTTTAAATAAGCCATTGATGGAGTTGTATGGTGATTTTTTTTTCTCTTCCTATCATTGAGATACGTTTTTGTCCTGTCAGTGCAGAATGAGTAATCCAAATACAGGACTTAAATGACATTTAATTTTCTTTTAAATCTAATTCTCCGAAGGGATAAACTTTATGGTCTGACTTTTTAACGTTACATATGAAATCGCACTCGGGTGCACCTTCCTGTCGTGTTATTACACAATCCCACGACACTCTAAAACTTATGGAGAATAGTACATGCAGGACATGGACTTTATTCATAACTCGGTGAGAGCCCGCATACACAAAACAGGTCCCTGCAGGGTGGGCTGGTAGGACAAGTCTCTGCGCTGTCTATTGCTGATTTTACACCCAACAGCACGAGATTTCACTTCGTTAAAGTATTGAAAGGGGACGGACGGACGGACACATTAATCTATTGCAGGCTGGTACACTCAGTTTACAACTTCGTTCCTACCAGTAATACTCTTATGCAAGGGAACCTGGAGTGCAAAACACAATGCAAATATCAACTTCGAATACACAAATGAAATAACACAAACATTAAAGTTCATAAGTAGAAATATATTTAAACAAAATAAACTTTAAAAACACACGCAAGAGCGTAAGAAAATAACAAAGCAACATCACAGCATATTGAGGAGCGAGATGAACCCTATTGTGACAGTTGCACCAGACCTGGGATCAATTACTATTGTACGTGTGCAATCCATCATGAACTGCAATGTAATTGTAATTTTAGCTAACATCATCAGCAGCCACGATCGATCCATTTTAGATTGAAAACTAATTTCTTTAGCACTTCTTTTTGTCGGCCTTCCCCCGCACTTTCTATTAGCACGATTGGCTACGCACGGTACGAAAGAAGTTCCAACATACACTACAATCCACCGCTGGATGAACGCCTCCCCTACCCATTGCCCGTCGGCCAACGATGCCGCCGCAATCACGATCCACCCGCAGGCTTGCTGTGCGCCAACGAGCCGGACGAGGTACGGCGGCGGCGTCTGCTGCTGGCGCTGGAGTCGTTCGTGCCGCGCTCAGCGCTGCGCTCGCTCGTCGCCGTGTCGGCGCGGGACGGCTGCGAGCTGGGCGCCCTGCAGCCCGCGTCCTACGACAAGGTGAGACGCTAAGCGACTCGCCACTCACAAGCGGTTTGGACGGACATGGGACTCCCCGTAGATCGATAGAGCAATGTCCCTATTGTAAAGTAAGCAAGCCGTCGGAACAAATACACCGGTGGAAGGGCCTCTGCCAGACTTTGCTGCACGAAGGGCTGTTATTCAGACACGCAGTCGACAAACACAGTGGTGCAGGAGACCCCTCTCTGAGACTTCCCCCTACAAAGGGCTGTTATTGTAAAGCAAGCAAGCGAGCAATGAGACGTACACCAGTGGAAGAGCCTCTGCGAGACTTTCCTCCACGAAGGGCTGTTGTTTAGACACGCAGTCGACTGTCACTGGTGCCGGAGACTCCTCCGTGAGACTTCTCTGAAAAGGGGCTGTCATTGCTGTAAAGCAAGCAAGCAATGAGACAAAGCCGCCAGTGGAAGAGCCTCTGCGAGACTTTCCTGCACCAAGTGCTGTTATTAAATAAGCAGACAGACAGACATTGGTGCAGGAGGCTAGGTGAGAATTTCCTTCATATATAGCAAATATCCATAATTTATTTAACAGACAAAAAAACCTACTGAGATAACACCCAAGAAGAATCTTGGACACGTAAATCTGGATAAAGGACTGATCATTTAACAAGAATTTGGACGAAAAACACTGCACAAGAGACTCAGAGGAGACTTTCCTAGCTAAATAAAGAACTAGGAATAGGTTTTACCCTTTTAACTGGCACAAAAACTGACACCTTTATTCAAGGCATCATGTTTGCAATGACCACAACACAAGCAGTCAAGATGCAAACAAAAAAGACAACTCTGATAATAATATGCACTGTCCTTGAATTTGATTGGTCCACACCCGAGACAGCTTTTCTTAGAGCCTAGTCTCCATTGGTGTTGGACCAGAAGACGCCAAAAGGCGTACAACTCAAAAACAGCGCACTATCAGAGTATTGAGGGCTCGGGGTGAGCATTAACATTATGAGACCTCCTTTGCCAGAAACAAGATATAGGAATAGGTTTTACCCTTTTAACTGGCACAAAAACTGACACCTTTATTCAAGGCGTCATGTTTGCAATGACCACAACACAAGCAGTCAAGATGCAAACAAAAAATACAACTCTGATAATAATATGCACTGTCCTTGAATTTGATTGGTCCACACCCGAGACAGCTTTTCTTAGAGCCTAGTCTCCATTGGTGTTATTAAAAAAAAAAATAAAGAACTGTTAAAATTGAGAAGAAATTTTCCCCTTTTTTTCTGGCAACAAAACAGTTGTGTTAATATGTTAAAACACCAAACTGAAACCTTTTTACGAGGAATCATGTCTGCATTAACCACATATACTTGTGGTCAGAATGCAAACAAAAACATACTCCGATAGTATATGCATTGACTTTGAAACTGATTGGTCCACACCAGAGACAGCTTTCTTTTGAGCCTCGTCTCAAACGGTGTTAGACCAGAGGACGCCAAAAGGCGAACAGCACAAAGACAACGCCACTATCAGAATAATGAGAGCTCAGGGTGAGCATCTACATCATGGGACCTCCTTTGCCAGTACCAAAATATGAGAATAGGTTATATTTTGGTACTGGCAAAGGAGGTCCCATGAACCATTACAGTCATTCATCAGTTGCAAAGGCTGTATCGTTACCACTCGTCAGTGTGACATATTTACGTCTCAATTGTCTGCACACTCAGCCCCTGCGCGGTAAGGAAACATCACGGCACCACTTTGCCTTCAGCAGTGACAGTGATCGCTGGGATGCCTCTGTTCGGCCCCCGTCCGGCGCTTCGAGCCGTTTGTTGCGTTTCGGCACCCCACGTTTCACAAAATGCGGCCGCCGTCTGTACGGGGCCCGCCCGGGGGGGACAGAACCAGCTCTGGCACACAGCTGGGGCGCCATGGTGCAGGGTCAGTGAGTAGCAGCGCATGGCCGAGCGACAATCCACCGCTTGCACAAACCGTGCGGGTAGCAGTGGATAAAGACCCAAGAGCGATACGAGTCTTGATTCCACACCGTGCGTGATTGCGCATCTGTTTGCTTTAGAAAGCTTTCTAAGGTACCGTATTTTCGATACCCTGCAATGACCAGTGTGTGGTGGCTTATGGTAAACACAACTCCTTCCGACCCACCCGGTGTGGGGAGGTCCTCATCCAGCCATGGATTGACATAATAAGTTCCGTACGTGCACATTATGAACTTTCCAAAGCTTCCCGTCATACGCAAAATCACACGGACACACATGTGCAAGTGCACACTCGCACACTTTCATCCAGTATGTGCCACGTTGGGCTCATATCCATTCATCACAGCAGGGGAAGGAGGGGTGGGGTTGGGAGGCTGACTGGGGGGAGTCAGAGTGGGGGGGGGGGGCGAGTGGTGATCGGTGTTTTCACGAGGTTTTGGCAGGCAAAGGGACCCGTGAGGATTTACGGGAGATCCCTGCTGCGGTTGCCAGGGCCCGGCTGGCAGGAGCGTGGGGTCCAGGGACGCTCGGGGCTGGCTGTGCGTAGTAGTCGTCCCTAGGAGGAGTCACGACTATTCATCCCGAGGCGTCCGTTTTCCTCATTGTCGCCATCATCATTTAATATTCATACTGTGCACCTCCCGTGCACTACATCTGTAGGCACTGGTTTACCATAATCTGTTTGCGTTTTATTTTCTGAAATCCACCAGCGCTGTTGCCGATGTTGTCGAGGGGGTGCTGTGGGGGGGGGATGAAGAAAGTTCAGTTTCTAGACTCTTGCAGCGAGCATTAAACCCGCCTTGTGTCACGGGGGACACAGCTCGGGGTGACCGAGTCCCTTCACGAGGCGTCGTCTTCCACCCAAGTGGGCACTCCTTTTATAATCTCTGCAAGGAGTCTTTATCAACGTCGTTGAAACCAAAATGTTTAATTTTGAGCGCTGGAATAACTATGATTAAGGGGGAGAAAAGCGTATTTAATGTGACGGGGGTTTTGTTTAGCCACGTGTGACTGGAGCCGAGGCCATCACTTTAATCACAGGCAGGCTAAACCCCCTATTCGAACCCGGGTTCACAGCGTTGCCGGCTAAGTTCTTCGATCCGCCGTTGGCCCCGCCGCCATATCCTGCGTGCACCGTTTAATGGTGCCCACTTTGAAGCGCGTCCTTGCTGTTGAACCGAACGGAGGCCAAATGACGCAACGGGACTTTTTTTTGTCATGTAATGACGGTGGGCTTTGTAGTTTTAATGTACCGTAACCTCGGCCAAAGGTCACTCATGTTGACCCGGGGAAACACTTAGGTTTTATTCCCGGGGGGCTGTTGATGTCACGTCTGTGGTGATTGACACATTTAGAGCTATGCGATCCTTTTACATGAGTAAACGATTGTCGATTATCCGGTCGATTGCTCGACAATTCGGATAAAGCAAAAAATGGGGCGAAAAGTCTCGCCTGTCCCCATGTGTGGCGCTGGAAGGAAGGTGATGGAGCCAGGGCTTGGTGACATCATCAGCATTATCAGCCACTTGGCACTGTGTGGCTCGCTCATAGGCAGTTTAGCGCCTTTGGGAGGCAGGATGTTGGGACGGCCACCATTTTTCAAGTGGCCTGAACAATTGACCACAAAAACATAACCGATTAAAATTTTGAGTAAGATTACTTAACGAAATCAACTAACCGGTTCGTACTATTAATGTAGCCTAGGTGAAGGCAGCACGTCACTGTTGCAATGGAGACCTGGAATAAATATACGGAGTAACAGCAAAAGTCCAGGGAACCCAGCGAGTACAAAAATAAACGTTAAACACCTTTTAAAAAACAGAAACAATAGTTGCCAGGCATGCGATATATAGTTAAATCAATCAAGCAATGGAATGCATCCGAAGAGGACGTCCCACCGATGGGATGGAGCGATGAAATCGGCTCATGTGCAGGCGCTGGGTGGATTATTACTTCACAGGATCACGAGAGGTGGCGGCAACTTTGGGAAGCCTTCATCCAGCAGTTGATTGACAATGGCTGATGATACACGTACAGTGCGTGTTTCTGTCAGGGTGAAGGTGGGAGGATTGCATGGGAGAAGTCGGCCGTGGCTCCGACTTGAACTTCTTCCGCGGGGGGTGGGGGGGGGAGGACAACGAACCAGGCACGAAAAGCAGTTGGAAATGAAATGCGGTTATGCGTGCGCACGTGTCGGCCTGCACTCCCTGCCGCAGGTCCTTGTGGACGCCCCCTGCTCGAACGACCGTAGCTGGCTCTACGGCGGCTGCGAGGCGCTCGCCGAGCTGCGTGTCCGCGAGCGCGCGCACCTGCCGGGCCTCCAGACGCAGCTGCTGCGGTACGTCTGCTGCGCCGCGCGCCCCACGGGTGATCATCAGAATCGTCAGAATATGTATTTATACCGGAGGGATCCGATGAGCTACATGAAGCTCCTTTTCACAGATGTCCAGTAAGGGGCAGGTTGGAAGGTAACAACAACAAACAGTACAAAAACCACGATAGAAATGCAAATTACAGGGGCCACTCTACTTACGAACGGGTTAGGTTCCAGGTCTGTTCGTAAGTCGATTTGTTCGTAAGTCCAACTTTACTCCTGTAGATTCCAAACACGTTATACGGCATGCACACTAAACACGGGGAATGGCTTTAAAAATTGTATAATCTCCTGTAGATGTAGATGCCACTAGTTCTTCACGTTCTGCAGATGGAGATGCCACCACCGCCATCTATTGCGCAGCGGGTTGAACTCACGACTCTCGGTCCCGAACAGGCAACTGGACATACGGAGAGGTTTGTTCACATCTCTGAAAGTTTGTAAGTCGAACGTTCGTAAGTAGAGGAGTCCCCCTATAGGAAACGTAAACAAATCCTATCATTCTTTGCTCTGAACTAGGAGCACCAATGAGGCGGTAGGCTTTGAGGCTGATTTCTCAGCCTCCCCTGATTAAAGCAGGCTCTCACGTATAGCCAGTTGATGCTCTCAGCCCAACTTGCACAGACATCCATAGACTCACTAAGAGACCCAAAGACTCAAATAGGCCGGGTTGTCAATAAACTGGGTTCTCAAATGTGGCAAGTAGAGATGTCTTTGTCCCCGATGAATGAAGATTCAAGCTCATACCGGACTGCCTGGAACACACAGGTTTGGAGGTGTGTATCGAAGAGATAAGAGCTTAGTTTTTTTGGATTGCATCGTGCCTTAATCTATGCAATGCTTCGTTCGAAACGTGGCCCTCCTTGGTGTGAAAAGAATAATTAATATATTTTCCCATGAGCTGCTAATCTACCCTCCCCCCCAGGTTGATTGGCACTAAGTGGCCTGGCTTGTGGGGAGAGCCGTGGGACCGCACTTTCGGCACTGCCCGGACAAAACGCCACGCTTTGTTTTGCCGTGGCCATCACGGCCGGGGCTCGAACTTTTGACCCTGAGCTCAGAGGCTTAGTGTGGAGCCTCGTGACGACGTGGCACAGGGGCGTGGCACAGGGGCGTGGCACACTGCCACCTCTACCCTCGCCGCTCGCTACGCCACTGGGTTCGATCCCAGTTTCTTTTTGCCCGAGATATTTCAGCATTTTCACACGCAGATGTTTAACTTGGTAATGGTCAACTCCTAGATTGGCTGAGCTACAGAGAGGTGAGCCCTCAACTTTCTATTTTAAGTCTTGGAGAGGGTTAAAAAAAATCAGCATTCGTGTGCAGAGTAAAATCTTGGCATTGCCCGTTCCCATCTGTGAAGTATAAAGTGGCTTTGTGGCTTAGCGCTTTGAAATAAATAAAATAGACGGATGCAAAATAATTCACCTAAATAATGTAGTCTCGAGAAAGGCCCCTCTATTCAAACATCCACTCTCTTCCTTTCCCATTCGACAATAATGGTTCTTATTCCTGACATTTTTCTTTAATCGGCCCGCGTTGTTTGTGAATCGCCAAGGAGCCCCCTTATATAATACAAACAAGACCGATGTACCCCCCCCACTCCACGAGATGCATGAGCTCATCGGAGTGGCGTTTACGCCGCACTATAGCGTCACGGTGAGCATCGACGCCGCCCGCACCTCTTTGTCGCTCCTCTGTTCCCCCGACTCTCGCCGACGCCTTCCCCCTCCACTGCCCAATGAGTAATTCCGATCCTTTTCGGCCCTAAATTTTACTACGACGCCCGCCCACCACCTATTGACGCCCGCCTGCCCATCCGGAACTAATCTGACCGCAGCGGTCTGTCAGAATTCTCTGAAAGAGTGAAGGAATGTTTGGTAATTTGTTAGCGAGTTGTAAGCGCTGCTCTTCTTTTTTTTCCCCCTCCCCTGCCTTCGTCGTCCACCCTTCTTCTTTATGCCGCACCGTCTTTTCAGAGCGGGCTCGTCCCGCGTGTGTTCAGTAAACGGTCCGACTTCTCTCTGCTCCCCAGTCGCTGGGCAGTGCTGTCAGCCACAGGTTGTGAGGTCCCTTTGTGTTGTCTTTTTTTAAGTTTCCGTCTAACAACTCGCCACCCCCCCCCCCGCCCCCCCCCCCCCCCCCCCCCCCCCCCCCCCCCCCCCCAGCGTAATTTCCCTGGGGTTCGAGAGGTTGCGGGTTCAGTCCCGGGTTACGATGGTAAGGATCAAAGGCCCGTTCCCACCCCGTGCGTTTACACTCGTGGGTACGACGAGGTTTGTCACCCGTTTGCTAACCTGAGAATGTCCTGCACCGTCCGATAATGGGACACGCGTGTCAGCGGTGGAACGTCGGCAGACTGAGCTTTGCAGGGCTCACACAGGTGTTAAAAAAGGTCGTAGTTGATGACGACTCCACGGCTCTAAGTCTGAACACTTAAGCATGCTTCTACACATATTTGTGACGATGCCGATCGACGGTGTTAGTCGATATACAGGTCGCGGGTGATGGGGTAAAGTGTGGGTACCCTCACGTCTTGTACGTGTGAGCATACGCGTGCGAGCAGATCAGCACAGACGTTTGTGTGCTTATTTACGTGTATAGTGGGGAAAGGTGGCATAATGGTTAGTGCACTTACCTACAGACCCAGCGATCAGTTTGATTTCTGCTCACAGCCAACATAGGTGATGAATTTTTGAAGCGATTCGGGGCCTCTCATAGGTGGACTCAGCCTTAAATGAGTATCCGGTGCGGTGTATATACATCAGCGATGGGAGATACAAAGGCAGCCGGTGTGGTTATCAGCCACACCACCTGCTCGTGTGCTGTGATGGCCTCCACAGGTGCTCGCTAATAGCATTTGCCGCGACAACCTGTTAAGGATACATTGGGGGATCTTTAAGGGGCACCACGGTGGCAAAATGTTAATTACCTCGCTTGGTATGCAGGAGGTTGTGGGTTCGATCCCAACCCTAGTGCTTGTATATTTGGAGTTTGCATGTCTCTCCCCGTGGTCACGTTTATTTTTCTCTGGGTCCTCCAGTTTTTCCCTGCACATTTAAAATGAACGTGCGTTCAGGGTATTTGGCTGCTATAAATTTCAACGTGATAAACCGCTTCGTTGGACTATCATTCGTGGTAGCCAGGTCGCTCCTGTGAAAAAGAGCTATGTAGCTCAATGGGCCCGGTAAAATAAAAAAACCGTTCACGTTTCAGTTTTTACCTTTTGTGCGTTTGTACCCGTGCGAGCAGGTCGGCGCTGAGGGCCGTTAAGCCAGGTGGGATCGTCGTGTACGCCACCTGCACACTGAACGCACGCGAGAACGCCGAGGTGGTGCACGCCGTGCTCGAGGGCAACGCCGGCGTCGAGGCACGTGGCTCTGCTGCTCTCTCCCCCCCTCGCACCCCCCCCCCCAGGAGCCAAGCACGGTAGTGGCACAGCTATCAATCGTGCCGGAGGTGCAGCTGCACCGGGGCCCATGGGACGGAGGAGCCAAACGGGCACCGGGCTATAAAGGGGAAAAGGCAGAAACGGCCCCCCGCCCCCCCCCCCCCCCCCCCCCCCCCCCCCCCCCCAATTTCATTTCTTGCACCAGGATCCACGCCAACCATCGTACGTTTGCAAAAAACAGAATTCAGTCCCAGTGGCTCATGATTTTATGTAAACTGGGGCTGCTGTGATGCAATTTTTCACCGTACAATACGATATCACATTTAAAGCACATGGCACCAGTTGCACAAAACTGATTAATTCCACGAATTAAATATATGACGTCACTAAACAAACCTGTTGCCAATTACTCGGTAACACACTTCACAAATCATTAATTTAACAGCAATTAATTTATAACTGTAATGATGGTTTGCTCCTCTGTAAATATTGTCAGGGATTTAAACGTTTACGGAAGAAAAAAAAATGAGCAACGAGAAACCAGACAGCCCGCTATTTTGCAAAAACAGCCGATACGATTATCGTGGACCTTATATCACACGATGAGCGACAGTACCGCCACATCACGGGTCAACACTAATACACACAAACTCTTACCCGCGATGCGGTCGCCTCTACCGTCGTTACAGGTCGTCGACTTGGCAGACATGGCACGGGGTCTGCAGGGTGTATTTTCATTGCACGGTGGTGGAGCAGCAGGAGAGCAGCCAGGCCTGCTTGTGGTGCCGGAGGAAGGCCGCGCGTGGGGACCCCTGTACCTGTGCAAGCTGCGGCGGCGAAGCTGATGCCGTCGCCTTCGCGTTCTCAGCATACGACGCGGCAGACTCAACGAGCACCCCTCGCCATGAACGCACGGTGCCGCACCACCCAACCAACAGCAGTTCACATTTGCTCAAGTCAATCATTCGCTTCACCCAGACGTTAGATTTCCTTTAGGCAATGTGGAACTTACTCGTTGGGTGTTTCCGTGGTGAGAGCGCTCGGGCAAGGTTGCGAGTTAAAATCTTAGTGGGTTGTGGGAATGGTCATCCTATCAGCCTATCGTCATTGTAGATAAAATTATTACCACTTTGAAGAAAGTTAACAGCAGTCATCTTACGGAGATACTGGCCCCCTCCCATCTATGTAAATCTGGAATTTTCAATACCGGTTCAGAGCCACCAACAGAAATGGGCACAACTACCATACCTGTTGACCCCTTATCAGTGCCTCCTACCTCATTACAGACCAATTTATGCCCTCATAAATCTCAATGATCATCCTACAAAGTCCCATCACAAGGGAGAAACGCACACATTTTTTTGCCCGTATTGAAACGGCTGTATGCCGTATGGACCTGAAAACGCAATTTCCCTGTACAAGAATACGTGTAAACCGTATGGGTTGATGGGTATGCACCACCATCTGAAAACTGACATTCTTCCGGGTGCAGCGACAATTGCGTACCAGCCTACACATCGACACTGCCTACACACGAAACAGCCCTTGTGCAAGTTTTACAAAGCTGCAGTTTCTCCTATTTGTTTTGTTTCACGGTACCTAGGGGAAACGACCCGTGGCCAAGTGATATCAACCGACACTGAATAACCCTCTTCCTTCCTCTGGAATCTACAGACAGCACAGTTATATCACTATAGGGTACAATTGCCTTTATACATATAAGAACCTTAAGATGTCGACACCGACCGAATGAAAATGCACGTACTTTATTCGGGTTTTTCTTTTGTTATAATAAAATTATATCCATAGCAAGATTCTCCTTATGGCTCACATTATTATTGTCGTCTCTTTTTGCGAGTCTGCTTGGGTATTATGCTAGTGGTTCCATGGCAAAGCAATCATTCTGCTGTGTTGGGATACACTGGTGAGTGAAATGTTCTTTTAGATGTGGACTGTACAAATCAGATTTTATTTAAAAGTAGCATCTTTAAAGAGTAAGAATACCTGTAAAAAAATTAAACTCTTTGCCCGTGTAATTTTTTTGTCACATGCAGGACACTTTTATTGTGAAACGATGGAAATGAACAGCATTCTGCAGCCAAGGTCTCATGGGCTCCGAGCTTGGGGAAGCATTCCGCTTTTTGCCGCGGCGACGCAGTAAACACCATAAGTGAAAAGCGAACAAAAAGTGAAAAGGCCAAACTTGGCCATGGCAGGGTGGGAGTCTGGGGCTGGAGCACACAAGCCTTGACCCGAGCTAGCCAATCAGTCCCGAGCACTAGCCCTACCCCAACGACCATCTGCCCTTTTTTTCATTTTGGTCATTCTTTTCACTTGTGGTGTTTACAATGCCCTTCAAATTCCCCTCTCGAGGCTGTGGTTCAGTGCCCTGCAATTGAAAAACACTCCACCTTAAATGTGCCCGCTTGCATTAATCGGGCACTGCACGCACCTGTGTTGACAAACGAATTCTAACACTCTATACAACGATGAGAAACTCGTTGGACAAAAAAGTGAGTGCAGGCTGGATACGAGCAAAAGGTCATTTTTAAACACCCAAATGCGTGATGGCGACCAAAGGATCGGTCCAAATTAAGCCTTGCATGCCACATGACATCACCATACTGCGTGTGTAATGCACACAGCCTCGCTCTAGACCACAAATTCAAGAGAACTGTGGCCATAATTGCAGAACAATGAGACAATCATATGCCAGGATTCTATGCTGTTATAGGCATCACGTTTTGCACATATTATGATCCGTGTTGAACCAATTACTGTGCAAACTGAGCTAGCAGACACCAAAGCCAGTGCTATGTCAGGGCACCCGGCTTCACAACTATAACCGTGGCTCCACACATGAGAGGCGATGCTTGCCAAATCTCTTCCAATGGTGGGCATTTATGTGTGTTGGGCATTACATGTTTCAAGATATTTGTCAAACTGGGTCATGCCTACCTTTAAATGAAGCCACACCGGGAAATTATTTGGTGTAGGGTAATTTGATTGTTGAGGGTACGAAACGATCAGACGTGTCGGAAAGAGGTAGCCTGTTGTCCTACTCTAGAGGACGGTGCATGCTTGGCTCCCCGATTACCCAGGAGGGAAACGAGACTACATTAGCACAGGCTTAACTGCAGAGACACCACGGCGCAAATGCTGTCCATATGAACCACACGGAGTAGCGTCGCATGCTCCTCCGAGGCTGTAAACAATGCACAATGCAAACACTGCGGGATGTGTTTATAAACGTTATTCTTCGGGCTGTGATGGCAAAGGTGACGAGACGAAAGAAGAACACACAACCGGACCGAGTGGGAAGCTCAATATGGCTCAATTCCTTTAGGGAACCCATAAAGGGGGGAAACCTTGGCTTTAAAAGGCAATTGAACTGAAGCATAATCTGCGATGTAACCGATGACCAAATAACCGGAAGTGTGCCCCATCTTGTCAGATGGGTTGAGCCTGCGTAGCGCTTGGGATGAGTGACCACTCTGGGCTGCTTTGGGGATACATGGTGGACAGCAAAGGGCAGTGCAGCAAAATCAATTGTTGTACTGTACTATGCCCCCACCTAGACACTCCCCACCTTCACCAATACACGCTGACTTGCGTATTCAGATAACGCCAACAACCCACAGGGGTTATAGAGGCCCTCGTCCAGCAGTGGAATTACAAAACATGGCTGTACATGTACAAAGTTAAGCTTAGGTAAGATTAGTCCTGGAAAGCAAAGTGGTCATGATCTTATTGAGCATCGGTTTTGCTCAGGTCTTGTTGACGGATCTCAATGGTGTTGGGCCTGGCTGAAGCGAGAGAATAATGGATATGCGCACACGTGTGGCAATCAGCAGTGCAGAAGAGTGATCCCCAGCATCATGTTAACGTCTATAATTTGGCTTCTATAGGAAGCTGAGAATGAACATTTACAACAAACATCTATTGCTTAGTTCAAGGAAGGCAATACAATACAATATAGGCACCCGTTAGGTATGCAGAGAGGTCTGAAAATTGTTAAACGTGACCACTAGCGACGGTGTAGGTTAAACAAAGTGCGTGCCAACTTTGGAATATTAATGGAAACACTCGACGTGAACGCACAAGTAGTTGGGTTTCAAGTGGGTCATGTAGTCACACGCACCTACTCGCTTCAGCACGCAACAGTGTTATGTGGGCATCGTGAGTTAGAGAATGCTTGGCTAGACCACAGCCCAGCTGTCGAAATGGTCACAACAACTTGGCACACTGTTAACCACGCGGCTTAACTTATTACAATATATCTATTTTTGAATTTTATAGTTACAGAAATAATAAAAGTATTTGAGCAAAAATTCCATTATGCTGTAAGCTATGGTGTTGCGACAAATACCATAATTGCAAAAGGGATGTGCACTTCGTTACTCCGACATTTTAAGTGCTGTGCTTAGCTTAATTCAAATGTGACCTTAAGAGTCTAAAAATAACCATTCACTTGCCGGACTAGCTTGTCACACTTATATTTTTTGGAGCATACGCTTTTCAAGAGGTTTTCCGCTTGGGATTTTTGCCAACTCATTAATTATGAGCACGTATGCATTATTGTAGAAAACTAGTGCCCGGACAAAATCCAAAATGCATGAGAAAATAAATCCCAAAACTCCAGCGGCAACGCGGAAACCTCCTAACCACACCACCTCATAGACCTCGTATCCACTGTATCATCAACCCACGCCAGAGCCGTGCCGAGCCAGCCCAACTCAGGAGGTGCCAAGGTTGTTTAGCCCACTGCTGACATCACATGCCATGAACGTGTCATGAGCCCTGACCCTGGTGGCTCTGCGTCTTCTGAGGCAGGCGTATCAAGGTTTGGTTGCGACTCGGCATGGCAGAGAGCAAATTGAAAACCACCCGTACTCTGAGGGCCCCACGCTGGCTTAGCTCAAAGGTGGGAGTGAAAAAGGGGCATTACAGACACCTCCGTTGCTCTGCAGGTGGGTGTCTTGTGCACCTGACAGCCCAATCTCCACACGATCCACCAACCCCATATTCAGGCTGCTGGTGCAGCAGGCGCCCACCGTGGCCACCATGGCCGTCAGACGTCGGCACGGCAAGACGGGGGGTGCTTTCGCCCGCAGCGGCCGTGCACCCCCATCGCGTCCCGCATCTCGGCTCTGCTCGTGCGTACAACGCGGCGTCACACGGTGGGGCGCAGGCTCCTGCGCAGGGCTCGGCGCGCGTGCTCGCGGGGCCCGCCCATGCAGGGCAGCGGCACGGCGTCGGTGCGAGCCTCCACGGTGTAGCAGGGGCAGTGGCGCAGGTGCTCCGACATGCTGGGCGTGTCGGCGAACGCCCAGTGCCGTACGGGCTCGAACGCCGTGCTGAAACTCCACGCCTGCACGCCGGACCGATAACAACAACGATGGCAATGAATATAGAGATCGCTTTGTGAGAAAAAAGGTCGCCGCTGAAAGATTATCTTTGTGACCATAGCAATGGTGGAGATAACGGTGGAGATGTTTATGACGATAATAACGATGGATGGTGGAGATGATGATAGTGACGGTGGCGATGACAGCGACGGATAAAGCCCGTGATGTTACTGATCAAAGGCGACTATGATGATGACGACGATTACGGCGAGCCACTTGCCTTGGCCTTCGTGCTCCAGAAGGCCCTGCCGTCGGGCCCCCGTGTTCGCTCCCACACAAGCGCCACCATGCCGCGCTCGTGCAGCAGGCTGGAGCACACGTCGCGCATCGTGCGCGACACCAGCGCCAGCTGGCAAAGGCTGAACCCATCGAGCATAGCGGCTACGCGGCGCACGATCTCGAAGGGCAGCGCGCTCAACTGGTCGGCGCTGCCGTTCGCATCACCTGGCGGTGACGGCTGGCTCATGCTCACGCCCAGAGCTCCCATCTCCGCGCTGTGCACCAGCCGGTAGCCCTGCATAACACAACAGCTTTTACAACACAGACTAAACTAACCTGGCTCTGGCCGCTGAAATGACAGGGGACTGAAAGACATTGTCATTGACTTTTACAGGTCTTTTGTCAATCCACGACTGGATGATGCCACAATCAGGAAACGAAGGCCTCTACCCCCAGCCCTGACACTAATTAAAGCAAAGAAACAGGGACTGAGCTCAGACCATCAACTCACGACACTTTGGAACACGGTTTATTCACAAGCAGCCAAAACCTAGCTACAAACCCAGAAGCTCAGAAGTGGAGCCGTCCCTTCATAGACTGGCACGTGCCATCTCTGCCATCCCTTTAACTGAACTGCAAGCGACTGCCCAAAGACCCAAGTGGCAGGCAATCCGCAACCGGTGAAGTGGCACCTGTGCAACGGGGCACAGCCGGCGCTGCGAGTGCGAACAGCCGTAGTGTGCGAGCGGGCAGCGCTGCTCCAGCCAGCCGTTGAGCGCCGAGTGTACGTCGCCGTGCGAGTTGCGGAAGTGCCACGAGAACTCGTCACGACGGAAGCTCTGGCCGCAGACGAAGGTGAACACGGAGCGCTGCTTCGTGTGGTACATGGTGACGCAGTCTTGCACCAGGTCCAACGCCAGAACCTAGTGGTGGCAGACATGCAATGGACAGAGACAGCACAAGTAAATATATGCTTAGCCATGGTTGGGACAGGGAGAAACAAACTGTTTCAGGGTAGC